GGGAGGCCGAGGCGGGCGGATCATTTGAGCTCAGGAGTTCGAGACCAGCCTGAGCAAGAGTGAGACCCCCCGTCTCTACTGAAAAATAGAAAGAAATTACTTGGACAACTAAAAATATATAAAAAAAATTAGCCAGGCATGGTGGCGCATGCCTGTAGTCCCAGCTACTTGGGAGACTGAGGCTGGAGGATGGCTTGAGCCCAGGAGTTTGAGGTTGCTGTGAGCTAGGCTGCCGCCACGGCACTCTAGCCCGGGCAACAGAGTGAGACTCTGTCTCAAGGGGGAAAAAAAAAAGATTAATACATAATCTTTCTTTAACATAAGCAAATGCACCTCTCTTGAGGATCCCAACATTTCCATGGAAAATAACTTTTCCTCCAGTTTGTAAGTTCCCATCAATAAATTTAGTCCCAGAGTAAAAAAAGTATTATATATGGATTACCTGAAATATCCAAAATTAAATATCTAAATACTTTGTTGAAAGTTTGACAATAAAGTTTGGTCCAATATTTTGTCTTATACTAAATGGGTTATTCTGTAGTACAGGTGGCTTGCTTTTCATACCAGGAGAATACAGAACTAAAAATTGAGGCAAAATTTCCTGTATCTCTTGTTTCACAGAATAGCTGCAATCTTCAACATCTTCTTTGCAATAAAGTAGGAAGGGGAACTCTCACTTCATGTTCTCCACTGACCCAGCCTGTGGCCTGGAGGGTTGTTTAGAAGGGTAAAATTGCCCAAGCAACCCAAGTGGAAGTGGCAGTAGAGGTGAAAAGAAGTGGGGCTGGGTGGTCCAAAGGGCTGGTGGGTGAATGGCAAGCTTACAATGAACACAGATTAAAGGATCCTGGTGATCCCAGCAGTAGCCACACGGAGCAGGGAAGGGTTAGGAGCCCTGTACCCAGCTGTTATGCTGCTGCTGTTCGCTTCACCACAAAGTATTTCTGTATTCCTTAGGCTATCTAGACTCCAATATAATCACAAGCCCCACAACTCTAATAATAATAAAAAAAAGCATTTATGTATATAATAGCTCATATATACTTCATACAAAATTTAATAGCACAAAAAGTATAACAAAAAATAAATCTCCCTTTCATCCCTGTTGCCCAGCTTTTATTACCAAAGAAGGCAAATGTTGCCAGTTTCTTATCTACCTTTTGCCTTGCTAAATGATATAATAGTTCTGCCACCTCTCCACTGAAAATTTTAAATTCACTACAAACTTAAAACCAAAAATACGCATAGCATTTTTACTAATCACATCACAAATATTAAGTTTTGCCACCTACGAAATCTTTGATTATCAAATTATGAAATTATTTAGCATATAATGCCATATTCTTGACTCCATGCTCAGTAAGCTCCTTTGGGCAGGAAGTACATTGGTGTGTTGTATAACAGAAAGCATACCAGACTAAACCTCCTTAGAAGATCTGGGTTTTAGGCCTGCCATTTATTAGTTGTGACCTATGACCTTTACTTACATGGATATCACCTCATCTCTACCTATTTCACTGCATTAAAAGGATTAAACACAATGCATGTAGAAAGTACACTGGAAACTCTAATGCTATATAAATGTAAGGTCATAATTATTATTAATTTGTATCTCTACAGCAACCACTCCAAAGCTGATATGTAATTTAACAGATATAAGCACACTTCCTATTGTGCAAATTATATGCTATATTATATTCACGGAATTGACTTTTTCCTTTAGGTTTACTGAATAAATATAACAACCCAAATGTCAATTGAGCTTCTTTATTTTCAGGAAAGTCTGTGACCTCAAAGAAGAACTTACTCATAATGAAAAGGATGTAAACTGTTTAACTAGCTTCTTTTTCTATCATATTGAGCAAAAATTGCTCCTAGTGAGGAAGGCAGGTATTTTACCGAATCAAACTTTATCAAAACAAAAACTGTTTAGCAAGGCTAACAGTTTTCCCACAGGAAACGAGAGTTTAGGAAGGGTCTAAAAAAGAGAGAAGAGAATTTGGTGTATGAGAATCTATTCGGGCAGTACTAAAGATTAAAGTTAGCCATCCAACAGGAATAGAAGACAATAAGAAAAATATTGAAGTCCTGCTAAAGCACTTCTTTAATTCCTTTAAAACAGATGATAGCATTCAAAAAGTAATTCAGAAAGAAAAGGCACAGAAAGTATTAAATAGAATGGTTAATAAACATCTAAATCAGAGGGAGCAAATGGCTCAATGCAGAAAAAGATGCTAACTTTTAGTAGCTTTTGTTGCAGGTTTTCCTTACCTCTTCTGCTGTACTAACATGTCGCCTCTGAGTTTTCTTGGGGCTCAAAAGGCTTCGACGACATGAACCACTCCAAGATGGACTTGGAATAGGCTTAATAGGAAATGATTTTTCATATGCAGATGCATGGCAGTGATGGTTTGACTTTCCCGTGAAAGTGTTTGATAATCCACTAAAAAAAAGAGTTTGTAAGAAAGAACAGTTAAGATAAATCTAATCTAGTGATTATTTTTGTTTTCTAGAAATAACAAAAACAAACAAAAAAATTTAACTGGTAGAATGACAGATAGATATACCATTTGAGGGAAATATGTAAGAAATGATATATGGGGTTGCTGCATCAGATTCTGCCACTTAAAAGGTCTTACATTGTCAAACTACATAATTATCAAACACTTAAAATTGTATTTCTTGGATCCACAATCTAGAATTCCCTTTAGTTAGGAACCATATAGCTGTGCAGTATTATAGAAAGCATATCAAACTAGACTTCTTCAGAAAACCTGGGTTCCAGGTATGCTACCAAACACATACATTTTTCTATTACTCCCTGCAGCCCCCTACCCCAAGCCCACTGGAGAAAATTACCTTAAGATAAATATGTAAAGATGAATAAAGTTGAAGCCTCTCAACTAAGCTTTTAAACTGAATTTTAAAATTTCCTGAAAGACCAGCAGAGGGCTCTCATCCATTATACAAAAAACAGCTAGAAGGCTTTCTATTAGGCTGCATCACTGTGAATTCTGCTTCTAGCTTATTTCCTTCCTCTGAAAAATTTTTGTTTCTTTATATTATTTGTACCCTATCTAATGGGAAAATTTGGCATGAAGAATATTGTGGACTCAAAACTCAGTCTTCTAAGGCTTAATAATTTCAAGTTTTTTCTATGTGTTTTTTTTGTCTATCATTACTCCCAGCAAGTCTGAGGTACTTAATCTTAGCATAATTAAGTTTCCCTTTCTTTTTTTTTTTTCTGGTGAGGACCCAGACTAGAAGTACACAGCTGACTAAGCTGAATTCAATGAAATCAATGAAATCAGCTCTTTAAATCATTACATGTGGTCTGGATCCAAATAAAATCAGAATAGATCTAAAGAATATCAAAAAGCATATATACTCTCTCAACTCTTCACATTCTAATGATTTCTATGTGTGTTAGAATGGGGAAAGGAGCAAGGACTCAGAATTTCAGGAATAGGCTTATTTTCTTGGGATGAGTGTATGCAGCCAGGAAAAGACGGCAAGGGCAGTATAATTGTTTGGTAAAGATATAATGGATTCTCCACAATGTCTTTCGTATTTGTGCTTCCCAGAGTGTGTGTGTGCATGTTTTTAATATAAATAACTCTTCTTCTAAAGAAATAGTACAAGGGTATCTTGCAATGCCAGAAAGCAAGGCTGTTACCAAAAATTAAAGAGGTTGGGTCAGATGGACACAGAAGCAAGCATGAAGGGGCTCCACACTGGCCAAAGTTCTAAGAATCTGAGTATTAAAAGAATGAATGTAGTGGATTGAAACACATTGAATCCATAATGACACTCAAAAAAGAACAGAAAAAAATTATTTGAACCACATGAAGTGAAGTAGCTATTTTTTAAAAAAGCTTTACTTCAAAAACTGGTAACGAAAAAGAAAAATCTAATAATTTATCCTGCCTTTCCTATAGGAAATGTATTTCAAGGTAACCAAATGGCCCCAGCTAATGAAAAAAGCAATCAAGTACCAATTAATAAGTGCAGGAGAAACAACAAAATTAGAAAAGTATTATTTCATTAATACTAATAAAATTTTCAGGTAAATATTATCAATTGATATTAATAATGGTTAGGTGAAAGGCTGATGTGAAATTAGTCATTCATATAATGCCAGAGTAACATCATTTGGCTTACATTCTAGTCACAGGGGAAAAACCTAACTGTATAATTAGCCATCAGACTGTCATCTCCTCAATCCAGAGGTCTATCTAGCACCACTAACAATAGGAGAACCAAAACAAGATATCGTTTTCTAATGTGATCTAACACAGCATCATCTTTTACCCATGACATGCAATTTGACAAAATAATGATACCATGAGGAAGCAACCTGTCAATTACAAAGGTGGAACTTTATGCAGAAAAAAGTCATGTCATAAAAGAAAGGTTACGGGGGAAAAAAAAAAATTAGTCAGGTGTGGTGGTACACCTGTAGTCCTAATTACTTGGGAGGCTGAGCAGGAGGATCATTTCAGCCTAGGAGTTCGAGACTGCAGTGAACTATGATCGCACCACTGCACTCCGAGGCTACAGAGTGACATCCTATCTCTAAAAAAAATAAAATTAAATTAAAAAATAAAGGGCGGCTATTACAGATTACAAGAGACTTAAGGACAATAACTCCCAGATGCAATTCTAGATTGGATACTGGTTTGGACAAACTAGCTATAAAAGATACTTTTGGATCAACTGAGAAAATTTAAATATAATTTAGTGTATGAGACAAAATTTACTGATTTGGAAAAGAAGAGGTGATTGACTAAAACACAGACTACAAAAGATTATGTACAGTATGACCTCAGTCTGGGAAAAATATATATGTGTAAAGGCAAAGAAAAATATCTGGAAGGATATGTACTAAGATATTACAGAATTGATCTCAAGCTGGTGGGAATGTGATGTTTTTATTTTTTATTTTTGCTGATTTGTATTTTCTGATTTATTATAAAGCACATGTACTGTTTCTGTAATAATGTTATTTTAAAAAATAACAGTATGGCAATATTGAGTAAAAAAAGCAACTTGTTAAATGATGCACAAAGAAAATCTTTAATGAAGACAAAATAATATCATACATTTCATTTTATACATAGCATACATATCATGCTATATATTAGTGAAAAAGAGTGAGAGAAACAATCATAGGAAAAGGTCTGGAAGGAAACACACCAAGGAGAGGGAATTGAGATTATGGGTAGTGGTCAAGGGATCTTTAGCTTTATTGATAACGTTTTGATTTTTACAATGTGAGTATATTAATGAATTCTTGTGTAATTTTTTAAAAGTTAAAAATGGAGAAGATGATCACTGGGAGCACTGACATATGTATGTTCCCAGAGTCTATGTGCTAATAATAGTAAGGTAAAATAAAAGCCATCAACACCAGAAAGCTTAGCCTCATATAAATAGAAAAATGATCCCACATTCCTAAAATACATCACCAGAGCAGAATTTAAGTCATAAACACCATTTTAAAAAAGAAATAAAGCACCTGAGGGAAAAGTTTCTAAGCCAAACTTCATCTGCCTTTAATAACCATTATAAATTTGGTGAGGGAATTGGTAGGGCTGATGAAGCTGGAATAACTAGGATAAAGTTCTCGGCTGGGCGTGGTGGCTCACGCCTATAATCCTAGCACTCTGGGAGGCCGAGGCGGGCGATCGCTCAAGGTCAGGAGTTTTAGTCAAGCCTGAGCAAGAGCGAGACCCCGTCTCTACTAAAATTAGAAAGAAATTAATCGGACAACTAAAAATATATAGAAAAAATTAGCCGGGCATGGTGGCGCATGCCTGTAGTCCCAGCTACTTGGGAGGCTGAGGCAGTAAGATCGCTTGAGCCCAGGAGTTTGAGGTTGCTGTGAGCTAGGATGATGCCACGGCACTTTGGCCCAGGCAAAAAGAGTGAGACTCTGTCTCAAAAAAAAAAAAAAAAAAAGAATAAAGTTCTCTGTGACTCTCTATTTCCTAATAGATAGAAGTAGCTTAATAGTTTAGGTCTAGTTGACTAATGCCATGTGGTAAAGAGAGCTGCTCTGGTTTAAGTCAGGTCTCATGTGAGAGTCTGCAAAATGTGCTTTGTTACCATTGCAAAGAGTAACCGCTTTTTCACTTTAAGATTCATAATAGCCGTATTTATCCTGAAGGAGCCCAATAGTCTCATAGTCACCAAGATTCCCCGCAAAACTGTCTCCTCCAATGATAAGATTTGGCTATCATCAAAATTCACCACAAAGTAAATTAAAACTTGAAAACTTAAAATAGATTTGTTCATATCTCTATGAGTTAAAGTCCAAAAACAGTGTTACTCTTTTAAAATGCCAATGTAATAACTATCTTATAGCCACTTTCTCTTATATCTGAGAAAGGGCCTAAGAACTGAGCAGTCAAAATACCAACCTTGAGGTCTTTCGGGTTTCGAGGTAAAGACTTCGGCTGTTTCTTGATTTTTGTAAAGTTGAGCTTGATACTGGAGTGGAATTTCTCCACTGGCCATTCGCACTCTCGCCAAAGGTTCTTAAGTTGCCTGAGCCAAGAAAACTGTCTGAGGAAGGGTTGTCTAAAAAAATAAAAGTTTGAATAAATTAAATAAATAACTACAGCTGGTTCTCCTTATGACTGCAACCATGACCAACATTGTATTCCAAAGCACTGTGGCATATCACCATGTCTCTCATGGAAGAAAGATCCCAGTCTCAACTGCCAATAAAGTCTGCAGTAAGGGAACTTCTACAAACTATAATTGATTCAGCCATACTAACCTGAAAATTGATGAAGGAGCTGAATCCTGCCACAGCCATGTGCCTTATCTGCATCAATGTGACTCCGTGGTGTCCACCAAAAGTCAACATTTTACCCCAACTATATCTTGCAAGCACTCCCAGGCCTGGGCCTGAAAGAAGGTAGGCCAGACCAGTAAGAAAGCAGGTGGAGGGCCAAGGAGAATTGTAATTCAAATGAACAACAGTTATTGCTTAATAAGCAGCTGGTGTCACTTTCTTCATTCTAGTTACCATGTCAAGACTCAGGGCCTCCCTCAAAGAGCAGAGATAACCTAATTGCTGCTTATTCTGGCTGGCTTATGGCAGGAATGACCCATCATACACATCTGGTTCTGGTATGATAATCTTCAGTGACTTAATGCCAAAATCATCAGACATATTAATACTCTAATGCTTGCTACTACAATCAGATTGAGAATTACTTATTAATCAAATTTTCTACCTTGTAGATTTCAAGCTAGGGTGACAAAAACCTCTTGAAGTTTCAGCTAGGAGTGGTAGAATAATTTCTATACCCTCCTCTCCCTATAAGCAGGATTGGACAACTTAAAACAGCTCCTTCAAAGTAACCTCAGACATTAGGCTACAGAACTTTGAAGAGCTCCTGAAAAAAGAGTGACAATAATTCTCTATTTCCTGAATTTTTTTCTAATGCTGACGTCATTTTGAAGATCCTCTTTAAAAGGATAATACCACAGAAGTTTTTACAATATTGTACATTTATGCTATTAAAAATATTTAATGTATCTTTTGATACTCTATCCAAAAAGCAAGGCAGCCTTCAAAAATATAATTTTGTGTTTTCTTAAGATAATCATGATATCAGGATTTGGGGTAAATAAGATAGGAAAAAAAGAAGCAGTCGGGGTAGTGTTAGTACTAATTAATTCACTAATGGATGAACTTAGTCTAATAATTAAAATAAGTTAAATTTACTTTCAAAATGTATTATAACTTTTTTTGCTTTTTAATCAGTAGTTATGCTTAGCATCTACTACTATTACTTAAAGGACAGAGACATGAGGCTAATAGAAATGAGTCTCAGTAAAAAACCAGAAAATTATTATCTCTAAATGCAAAGTAATACAGTAGAAATCCTTGTCTCTCACACCTTTTTGCTAAAATTTGATTAGGGAATGATCTAACTAGAGATATCTATTTGAGGAATAAGTCTGTCAAAAAAATGTAAATTATTGTGACACGTGTGAAATTTGAGACCAAGGATAAGCCAGAGTAGCCTTCTCAATGGCATGGCACCTGACAGAGACTACATATTTAAAATAAAAGGGAAAAGCACAAAATCAGTCTGTTTGACCAGAATAAAGTGGTTCCATCCCCACTCAATGAAATCACTGAATTGTCTTCTGTTACTGAGGAGATCATGCAAAGCTAGAGGGACAAATAGGGGGCTAGAGATGCTCTTTTACAGTAAGGGTTTAACCCAATAGTCTGTCATTACTAAGTAATCAGAGTTGCAAATGCCACAAATAAGATTACTTATTACATCCACAAACATACAAAACTAGAAGAAAATACACCTAAACTTTAATTGTGGTTATGTTCTAATGATAGAATCATGGGTTATTTTTCTACTTTTCCCTACAAATTTTTTGCAGGGACAGGCAATACTTCTATGAACATAATAAACTTTATATTAAAAAAGAAGAATGTGTCAGGTAACCACTTACTATGAAAGTAACCATCAAATTGTTCCTGTTAACTTTAGGATTTATTTAGTTAATATGACAGCAGAATGCTTTAAATCATCTTACTTACTAAATGCTAGTTTGGCAACCTAATTTAACATATTTTCCAAAGACTCCAAGCATAAGCAAAATCATTTCTTTTCATCTTAATCTACTTTTCTTTGTTTAGGGTTAAAAAATGTTTTGATTTTCTTTTCATTGTGCTGTTAATAAAACTGTGAGGCCTTGAAGCCTGATCATCACTAAGTTATTAAAGTGAAATAGCATTGCATTTTTTTCTAAAAATTTTTTTTCAAAATCTATATTTTTAATCATCTGATCTTGAGTAGACTGAGAAGCAGATTTTTTTTAAAACACTTGATCTAGAGAGGTAAATCCAATAAAGCAACAAATGAGAAGTTCTAGACCCTAGATTCTAAAGTTTGGGCTTTCCTGCTCATTGCCATCCTGGTGGAGGAGAAGACAGCAGGCTCAGAGAGAAGACAAATACCAGTACAGCCAGGATCAGAAGACTAAGGCAGGTAAACTGGGGATCCATGCCTAGCCCAATCAAGAGGTAAGGCTCCAGGTGACTGACTACAGAAATCAATGTGGGGATTATTAGAAAAGAATATATCCAAAGCAGATAGCGGAGACAAAATTCTGTAGGACTTACAATGAACTAGAATGGGTATGGCAAAAGAAAGAAGTTTTAAAAAGTACATAGTTTAAAAATAGCTTTTAATTAAAGACTTTTATTATAAGAAAAAAGTATATAGACCCTTGGCATTCAGAGATCTTAAAATTCTGATTGTTAGGGAGCAATCGTGGAGATCATTGTTTTTCCTTTCCTAAAAAATGGTATTCCAGTGAGAGACAAAACTTTAGAGTAATATTTTTGATATGGGAACCAACTTGTGGTATGAGGATAAACATAGGAAAAATGGAACTCTCAACAATCACGTAACTAAGTAGAAAGCTGGGAATCTGGTCAAATATTACAGGAGAATTTGAGATGATCTCAGATATATCCTTTGTGATTATCCAGGGTCTACTAAAATTTAAAAGAAAAAAGCTATGTATACAAATGCTTTTAAGTCATGTTATTAATAATAGCTGAAAATGGTAAGGATGAAAATGCACCTAAACCATAGGGAAAATAATGAAGCAAATGAAGGCACAGGCCTATTTTTCCAAATCATAAACCCTTGAGTCCAGTTATATCTCTGAATTCAAAATTTCTGGAATTTTAGAAAGATACTCTGGTATACTAGGTAATACTTTCAAGTATAATCTGGAGCAGCACTCTGTAACCAAACATATTGATACACCTGCAGCAAAATGTGTACTTATACTTACATGGGTAAATAAAGACAAAATATAAACAGTTTCATGTCAGTTAGGTTTTGCCAAGGAATGAATTCAGGTCAGGTTTTGATGCCAAGTGATTTATAAGATTTTTTTTGGTTTTTAGAGCTTTGTGGATTTTGAAATTGCACATAAGATATTGTGAATGTATGTGGCTTGAAGCTCTGACTCAGGTGGGGCAAGGGCAATATAAGTAACCTAAACATTTGTACCCCTGTAATATGCTGAAATAAAAAAAAAAAATTAAAAACAAAAGGGATTGTGGATGTACCTATCAATTTCACAGATTAGAAATTAAGAGAAAATGATAAATATGAAGAACATATAAATAGATAAAAAAGTAAAATTCAAAATATTAAGTTAAAAAAAGATTACATGTCTCGAATTATACAACGTGTACCAGGTACACACGGAAAATCAGAAGAGGCCAGAAAGGTGAGTTAAATAAGAGTTGAGTTATGATCAGGGGACTCTGAGTATAGTCTTCTATATAATTATTATTAAGCAATTATTTTAAACTTAAAGCAAAGATCTATCCAATGGTAAATCAGCATATGAAATTACAAGTAAACATAGCCTGAGTTCTAATGGAAATACTGATGATCTGATTTCATTAATCACTTAGCTGTTCTTCCTACAGGATTAATAATGAGCTATCAAATCAGATTTTAGGCTCTCTCTTCATCAAAAAGGCCTTTTCAATAATAATGATAGTAGAGTTACTTTCTCAGAAAATTGATTTTTCTATACAAATTATGCACATACTATGTGGAGACCACTGCCCACCCCAAGACAGGAAATCCAGTGCCCAGGGTAAAATAAAGTACCACCCACCTAAATCACATTTAAATACAATATAAATCTAAAAGAGCATCATACTAACGTCTTTTTAGGGGAGGAGATCTCATCTTGCTGACAAAGAATCCTGAGGAAGCCAAATAACAATAATTATTATTTGCATTTCATATTTATCATCCCAATTTATCCTTATAAAAATCTCACTGAGACAGGTTCAATGGTATTACAGGTTTTCCCACATTTGTGGTAGGTGAGGAGATTGAAGCATGAGGAGTGAAAAGACTTGGGGAGACCACTATAATTTTCCTGAGTCCTACTGCCAAAAGGCTAACCAACAAAACTCTGAGTTTCCCAAGGCAGAAGCAGAAGATGGTTGGAAGTCCAAACCTTAGGAAGGGGGCAGATGATAAGTCAGGCAGGCCATGGGACAGGAATAGCCTAGACTAGAGAATGCTGACTTCTGTCATGGATCACAAACTGAATAGGCAAGCCCTTGAATATGCAAGCATATGGCTGTGGCAGGTGCTAGACAAAAACATGTAGTTAACATTTCCTGCCCTGAGAGAGGGACAAGTTTGGGTAGAAATAAATTTTCAGGTTTCATGGTTTCAAGCAGAATAGAAATAAACTTGCTCTGTAGTTTAAATTAATGCAAAACAAATATCCTTTACATCAATACACATATTTCCAAAAAAGTCAAAGACAAAAACAAAACAAAAAGTATATTGCTATTTACAATGGCAAATGGACAAGAAGAATAGATTCCAAATATACTTTTCTACTAACAAACTAATATTTGCTTGAGACTAGATCAGTATTGTAGCAACCACATACATACACACAAAAAGCTATCAAAATGACAGAAATGACAAAAATGGAGAAAATACTATTTTGCTTTTAATAATGTTTTTACTTTTAGAGATGATAAAAGCAAAGTATTTGCTAAGAAGAAATCTGAGAGGTTTAGGTGCCCTGACTCCAAGTAATATGTCATACCTGAGTAGTAATTTGGATTATAAGCTGCACTTCTTATGGAACATGTAAAAGATCGGTCCACATTTCCTTGCCTGGAAGGTAAAACCTAAACAAAGCAAAAGATTTTTCTTAAATCACATTTTTGACAATATAATAGAGTAAAAATTTATACTAGGAAAAACGTATCATTAAACAAGACTATAACATATTTAGAACTTATAACATTATATTTATATATTATAAATATTAGTATTGCATACTAATAAGGAAAAAACACATAGACAATCTGATGAAATGATTCAGGCTTCAAGGGCAAAAATGGGCAAAATATCTGTTATACAACTTAAAGAATGCCCATTAGAAAGTAAATATATATTTAGTATATCCTGTATAACATATATTAAGAAGGCTGAGAACAGGCATGGTGGCTCATGCCTGTAACCCTAGCATTTTGGGAGACCAAGGCAGGAGGACTGCTTGAGTTCAGGAGTTCGAGACCAGCCTGAGCAAAAGTGAGACCCCCTCTCTACTAAAAATAGAAAAAATTAACTGGGCATGGTGATGCACACTTGTAGTCCCAGCTACTCAGGAGGCTGAGGCTGGAGGATCACTTGAGCCCAAGAGTTTGAGGTTGCAGTGAGCTATGACAACACCACTGCACTCTACCCCAGGCAACAAAGCGAGACTTTTGTCTCCAGGGTAGGGGGAAAAGGCTGAGAAAAATCAACCTGGTTTTGATTCTTCTGATAACTTTTCAGAGACAGTTCTTAGTCAGGAGTAGTGCTGCATCCCTAGTACAAATCTGGAAATGTGTGGAGATATAATCACTATCAAAATGATTATGAGGGGGGTGGATGGTATAGGTATTTAGTCCCTAAGGGCAAAGGATGCTAAACATCCTATTATGCTTAGTACACACAGGAAAGAACTATCTCTTCCAAATTACCAATGGCTTTCCTACTGAGAAAGACTGCTTTATTAATAGTGTTCCTCAGACTTCAATTTGCATATAAATCAGCTGGGGATGTTTTTAAAATATAGATTCTTATTTCATAGAATGTGGTGAAGCCTGAGATTCTGCATTTCTAACAAGTTCAACAGTGATGCTGATGCTGCTAGTTTCTGAACCAGCCCTTGAGAAATTAAGTTCTATAGCACAGTCAAATCTTGGAGCTGCTGTATATTTTCACATTCCCCCCAACCATTCAATGCTGAATAATTTTTTTGTTTTTGAGACAGAGTCTCATTTTGCTGCCCAGGCTAGAGTGCCGTGGGGTCAGCCTAGCTCACAGCAACCTCAAGCTCCTGGGCTCAAGCGATCCTACTGCCTCAGCCTCCCAAGTAGCTGGGACTACAGGCATGCGCCACCATGCCCGGCTAATTTTTTCTATATATTTTTAGTTGTCCGATTAATTTCTTTCTATTTTTAGTAGAGACGGGGTCTCGCTCTTGCTCAGGCTGGTCTCGAACTCCTGAGCTCAAACGATCCGCCCGCCTCGGCCTCCCAGAGAGCTGGGATTACAGGCGTGAGCCACTGCGCTTGGCCAGATCAGTGTTCTTTTAAACTAGTGTCTTAAAAATTATTCAGCATTGGGCCAGGCACGGTGGCTCACGCCTGTAATCCCAGCTCTCTGGGAGGCCGAGGCGGGCGGATCGTTTGAGCTCAGGAGTTCGAGACCAGCCTGAGCAAGAGCGAGACCCCGTCTCTACTAAAAATAGAAAGAAATTAATCGGACAACTAAAAATATATATATATAAAAAAAAAAATTAGCCGGGCGTGGTGGCGCATGCCTGTAGTCCCAGCTACTTGGGAGGCTGAGGCAGTAGGATCGCTTGAGCCCAGGAGCTTGAGGTTGCTGTGAGCTAGGCTGACGCCACGGCACTCTAGCCCGGACAACGGAGTGAGACTCTGTCTCAAAAAAAAAAAAATTTCAGAGGAACAACTAAGAGTTTTCTAAAAGGTACTATTCTCAGGGAACTCATACATAGCCTGGTTGCTCTTAACTTTCTCATCTTTAATATATCAAACAGAATTCTAAACATTAAAATTATTGATTCTAAGAAATTTATATATACACTTGTATTTTTGAGTGTGGCATTTAAACTACATCAGATAAAAACTTATGATGAGCCAAAACAATTCATTAAGGGAAGAAAATTATTCCTAACCTGCTGGTCAGAAAGTGATAGCTGGTCCTCTGGAAAACCTGTTTGTGGCAGGAGGTGAGTTTTGAATATGGAGTTGTGGTTCACTAAAGTTACTTCTCCAGCATCCATCCTCATCCTATCAGCAATATCATCTGGAGAAAGAGTCTGGATTAGTTCAAGTCACATACTTCTTCAATAACTTTTTTCTTATGAACCAATCTTTTCACCTAATAAAAATGATTCCCAAAGAACAACTCTACAGTCAAATAAAATCCTTCCTTCATAGCTAACCATTGGCAAGAAATCTCAAAACATCATTGTCAAAAGAGGCCCACGTGCAGAAATTGGCTCATTTGGAATTTACTGAGAGATCATCTACCAAGCAGTTGAAAATTTGTACATGTATAAAAACAATGTAAAGTTTTAAAAATAATAAAATTTTCCCGAAAGAAATTTTTCAAATGTTATAACTGTAAAAAAAAATTAAAAATTAAAAAAACGGGGGAAAATGTCACCATGCAGAAATAAACACTGTTAACATTGGTTTATTTCCTGTTTTAACTTAAAAAGGTGCTTTAAAAATTAATCCGCCAGAAAATTTTTTTCTGTAAAGCATACCTTATTCATATGGCTCTTAACAGATAATCAGCTCAATTACTGTAATATTGTGACAGAATCTTACTCTAGAACCATTTTTGAGACCTTTGTTACTATAAAAGAGATAGAATAGGAACAAATGAGAATACGGGAACTCAATGACTTACACTGACATTCGCAATGAGAGAAAATGGAAACAAATGACCGGGGGAGAAAGCAGAATAAGCAAGAGGAAAAAACAGAAAGTAGAGAGAAGGCTAATGTAAATTTAAAAGGAACATATGGGATCATTATAAGGCCTAACTGTATAGATTTTTCAATTTATTCCTAAATTGGCTATTAGTCCTGATTTTATATTGATCCCCTTTACAGACATGAAGTACTATGAATGAAATAGTGAAAGTGTTCCAATTAATCACAATTAATTCCCAATTCACTAGCTAAATGAAATAAAATATTTACCTTAATCAAATTATTTATCATATAGAAGGCAATATAACACAGTACTAAAGAACAAGGACCCTGGAACCAGAGTGCCTAGGTTTAAAACCTGGCTTTGTCAGTTGTAGTATATGACCCTAGGCAAGTTTCTTAACTTCTATGTCTCAGAAGTTATTATATTAACTGTGTCAATATAGTAGGGATAATGACAGTACCTACTTTGTAGGCACCATTAGGTACCCTTGTAAGGTGACTGTAAGGATTAAATAGATTAATACATTTTAGATACTTAGAACAGGGGCTGACACATAGTAAATGTTTGTTAGTGTATATTTGGCTTTTTCAATACAATGAATGAGAAAATGTTCCCAAGTGACTTTGTAAACAATGTTCTAACCAAAAGAAAATTATGTTTCATATATAGTATTACACAATTAGGATTAAGATCTCTCTTAAAATTATTAAGCACAAAGATACAATTATTAAAAATGTTAGGAAAATCCATTCTTTTACTCTAGCTTTCACTCCAACCAGAGTAGCTAAAAAGATTAAACTGATTAGTCTTACCCATGTCAAGTCTTTTCACATCACTGACTTTAGCAAAGATACAAAGTCCTATAAAAAAAAAAACACAAAACAGAAACATTACATACTGAAAAATCTACTTCATATAATTATAGAACAGGCAGCCACTCAGAAGTGACATTTGTTTGTATTGTTAGTGGAGAAAAATCTAAGGTGATAAGGAGTTGACCTGATGGGAAGAATAGAAACTAAAACTAGCCCGAGGTACTTCCAAACCTTTCTGCAACCTGTGCTACAGCAATTAGAGACTATCCCCAGAATCACAGAATAATAAAGCAAGAAGCAAATTGGGAGAGCCAACCCTTAGGAGACTGAATGATTTGCATAAGGTAATAGTTAGTGACCATACCAAAATTACAACCTAGAAATTCTTCCCAATCCATTGCTCCATTTCCTCATGCTAAATTATTTTATAAAAAAAGGACAGACCTTGTGAGGGTACTATTAAGACTTCTCTTCCGTATGTCTTACTCAGTGACCAAATATAAAGCTACTAATATTCTGAGGACAATCAAGGACTACTTCACAGTTGTACAAAGTACTACCCCTCCCCACATCTTCAATCAATCTACTACAAATCAAAGCCCGTTTGCCTATATAAAAGTTACTTTCTTTATTTAATGTATCCACTTTTCCCAGGAAAAAAGGAAGTCAAAAGCCTAACTGCTTAGAGCAAGGCTAATAAACACACCCTTGGCACATATGCTCTTGGCAGATTTCCAAGAGGAGACTAGAGATGGTAATAGTCAAACCTATATATATTTACAATTTTAGGGCCATATTTTTTAAAAGATTGAGCACTTCATCAACTACACAGCAATAACTAAGGCTTAAATGTATTCAGGAGACTGGATAATAATGGGCATTCTTTATGGTCACAATAACGAGGTACACATGAAGGAAGGCTGCGTGAGTTTTTCTTGGCACAGCTATAGACTAAGCAGAGTAATTATCTGATTACATAGTCTTACTATTAGATTTAGGCTTCAAATATATTTCCAAATGTTCAAGTTAATAAAATCTGGAAATTCTCCAGGCTTCCCTTCTCTCTTCTTTAATAGAGCAGAATTCTCTAGGTTCCAGATTAAGGGGGAAAAATCCTATCAACCAATAAATTAGAAGGGCTTTTTTCACATTTCACTCTTTCAGGTGATTTCATAATTGTCATCTTAGTCTCTTTTTAAAAGCCTGGTGCCCAGTGGAACAATCCCATGTTAATTTTCTTTGCATTTTGCTAAGACCGATGTGAAGAGGGAAGCAAGCTCGAAATTCAAAAAATTTTACAGATTAAGTCCAGAGAGGTTAAGTGATTTGCCTGCAATCACACAGATGGGGCAAAGAAAATATAAGAATCCAGGTATCCTGACTCTAGGACAAATGCTCATTTCCAACATCATACAACTTCAAATCTTTTAACACAACCTCATTCAAAGATTCATTCACACTGGCAATGTAAAAGTAATCTCTAGCTAACCCTGGAGAATCCACATTGACTTATAAAGTTAAATAAAGCCCCACATTTACATTTTAATACAAATATAACTGGTTTGTTTGGTGTGTTTATGGTATTTTCTGTTAGCCACTTTGCAATTATATTGGGAGAATGGATATTTTACCCTGAGGTTCTCCATGAAACACTGGACTTGGAAACTTTGATGCCACCAAATTCTTCCAAGTGTAAGAATTTTTTTCTTTTAAGAAAAGCATTCTAATAATTCATTTCTCAGTACACACTGGTCATGTAATTTAGTGAAATAACACAAACAGTTACAGTTATTCAAGTGAAGTCAGCTTAATAACTGAAAACAAGGTAATAGGAAATCTGAAAGAAAAAAAGATGAGTCTTGACTGTAATAAAATGTAACAAATCTCGTAAAATACAAGCTTACACACAGGCAAAAAGGTGATGATAAAAGACAATGTTTAGGGCTATGATGAAATACATATTGAGAGGCATTGTTGGCTTTATCCAGGACCAGTATGTGATTAGAAGAATTTATGATATGAGAAGGGTGTGGAAGTGATCATATGAATCACCCTACCCTGAACTCTGCTCATTATGTATATGATACAGTTGGTACTACATCATCATGTATTTGGGCTTTTTTCCCCTTCTATTTTTACATGTAATGTCTCCCAATTAGACTCCAACACCTTAAACACCTTAACACTCTAATGCCTTAAACACTAAGTATTCAACTTCTTTCATACACATACATTTACTGTGCACCAACTACTTGTGCAGGGTACTGGGGATACAAAAATGAATAAGAACTGGTCCCCGCCATTGAGAAGCTCAAGGTCTGGTGGGAAAAGCCAGATTCATAAACAGATACAGCAAGACAGTAAAGCTGGTGCAAATGGTAGGAGCGGTGGAAGAAAAGGAAGGACTTCCAAAGCAGTAGTTAAGAGTTACATCACCTTAGCCAGAAGAAGCAGAACCTGTTTTTGCATCCATCCACTCCCTCTAGAATTAACTAATCAGATGGGTGATATGAAAACCATCTTTGTAGTTGGGATAGTATTGAAATCAGGTAAAAGTGAATGAGTCTTCTCAAGATAAAAATAAATAAGGCATCCTAAAAGGGACTAGAGAGGAAAAAAAAGAAGGGAATCTCTAAATTGGAAGGTGGTTAAGGGATATGCTTAAAGAGATGCTTAAGGTTTCACTGTAACTGTAATTCCAAAGTCAGTGTAATCTAAATTTCAACACAAGTCCTTAACACACATTATCTTTATGAAGAATAAAGATTTAGGAGATGATGTGGCCTACTCCATCCAGAATAACCAATTACAACAAAGACCCTAAATCAAATAGTTGGTAGTCTATAATAGGCTTTATGTAAATTTTATAAGAATCACCACCACCCCAAATATAGTAAGTGTACCAAACATGAGGTGAAATGACTTTAACAAGGCTGACTTGAAAGTGATAAAGGTGCAAGTTATTGCCAACAAGATAGTGGAAATACTGCAGAGGCACCGATAAACAGAAATCACCTAGCTCAAGAAAAGAGAAACTGGCCATAGATCCAGAAAGATCGCGTTATGGTACACCAAGAAAGAGACGGTTCAAAAGAATTACCAGGAGGCGATGAGCCAGGTAAGCAAATTGCGGCAGTTAAGGGGATTTTCATAACCTGGGCAGGAGGGTCCAGACGTTTCTTTCTGGTGGTGGCACTAGCGATATCGCATCTCAGGGAGATACCACAGAGTAAAAGAGTTGGAGAAATGTTTACGTGAGACGCAGTAGTAGTCGAGAAATATCATTCAGGTCTCAAAGAAGGCGGGAGGTGAAGCAGGTGGTGATAGAAAGCTGAGCTTCCAGGTCAAAACAGCTCTCCCTAGAGAGGAGACTCCGCTCTGGCGGGAAAGCCCCGGAATCCCAACCGGCCTTTTCCCCACAAGTAGGGTTAGGCGCTGAGATGGGGCCTGCCGTAAGGGCAGAGAAGCTGCCTTTCCGCGGCCCAGGATAAAAGGGGGCCTGAAAGAACAGCCTCAGCTAGCCTTACTAACGGCCACTGGCCAGACGGCAGCCGCCGGACGGCAGGGGGGAGGTGAGGTGGTCCCAGGGGGCGGGGCAGAGGAAAAGCCACCGGCCCCGCAGCAGTCCCCGCTTCCGCCCAGCGTAGTCCAGGCCAGTTGGCCCAGTCCGACACAGCCTCCCGGCCCAGGCTCCCTCCATCCTCACCCCTCCCCCAGCTTCCCGCCGCCACTCACCGAACCGGAACCGGCTGCCAAGCGAAGGAGTTTCCGGCCGGGCGCGGAACGCAAAACCCGGGAACCGCCGCGAACCGGAACCGCCTTTACAACACCGGAAGAGCCGCTCGGTGGCTGCGGAGGAGGGGGGGGTGAGGCAGGAGGTCAAAGAGCGGAGTAAAGGACCAGTGGAACGCCTGCGCGGTGTGGCGAGGCCTGAGAGGCCAAGGGAGCAGACTGTAGTCATAATTTGCTAGTTAACCTTTCAATCTGGGTTTTTTCTCTTTCTCATACTTGGAATACTGTTAGTGCGCCCTTCGTCCTTTGCTGTTCTCTGTTCCCTCGCCTCCTTTACCCGCCGCCTTCTGGTTCCGCACGGCGATTTTTGCTTACGGTCCGATTTCCATGGCAGGTTTTTGCTGTGGCCCTAGATCAGCTGGAACCTGTGGCTTCCCCAACAGATGGAGACCTGAGATCTAAATCGATCTCAGGCTATATTGTGTTTTATTGAGGATCACAGAACATTAGTGCTTGTAGAGGTTATTTTAGTCTAACAAGTTCAGAAAAGCGAAGTGATTTTCTATTTTAAAGTGTGTGGCAGATCTAGGACTAGGAAACAAGTTTCTTAACTTGCATTCCTATCCTCTTTGCACTACAGCATGCTTGATTGCTCATCCGGCAAATAAAAAAAAAAAAAAAAAAAAAGGAAAAGAGACAACTTGGGGACGGCTTAAGTTAGACTCTGGCAACATGTAGAATCTTCCAGCACTCTGGAGAAGTTTGAAACTCGGGCAGAGATGTGAGGAAAGCTATTGTGGGCCCATCAGAGATCTATTTTGCGGGGGTAGAGAAAGGACCCAGGAGTCTGACCTCTGAAGGGCCTTGATCTTGTTCCTGGGACCACATTGATTAACTTGTAATCTGTGCCATGCGTTCTAAGAGAAAATAATGGGAAGAAATATTTTGTTCGTTCGGACTGTTTACCAAGCCCCTCAACGTGGTAGGCCTCTGGACCCAGGCCCTGTCTAGAAGTCTTGGAGAAATGCTCTGAATAGGCCCTCTAGATCCATATGTCAGCCACAGTCTGAGCTCAAGACTTAAAGAAATGAAGCTTCTGGAGACCCTCCCCCCAAGCCTTTTTGATACTCTCAGCAGCTTGCCGAGTTGAGGGGATCCTGCCCTGTCAAATGTTTAAAAGTAGATTATTTGTATCACCTCATATGCTGATTTTTTTATATTTTCAAGTGCCAAGGCCTAGTAGTATTGAATATACCTGGTCCATGTCAGTCATTGACATCTTAATCATTCCATAAACCTGTTCATTTGAATTAAATTCTGTCTCTATTTCTAGGAGACAACCATGCATAAAGAGGAATTTCATCTGAAATTTTTCATGTGCGTGATTCAATCTCGCCAGTTAGTCAGGGCTCCTCAGAGAACAGGTACCATTGTCACCTAATCATACTCCAGTGATAGAGAATGGGTTCTCTCACAGGGAGTCTCAATATAGAATGTGAGACTTTCTAGTGTAAACACATACTTTAGGGGTTAACTTACCTCGTTTATTCCATTCTCACTATGGTAAAGTATTTGTTATTGAATAGTGTCTTTTCCTTTTATAGGTAGGATTTTGGCCTAGTTTGGGGGATAGGCCCCAGGCAGATAAGGAGAACTTGGGAGTTGAGGGGGAATAAGATTTATAGCTCATGAGGTAGTCTTTAATTTCTATGTCCTTTGTGAATTATTTCAACCTATCTGGGCTCATCTGTGGGAATCCTTGTTGCCACTGTAATTGACACTCCAGAACCCATAAAATACATCAAGCCTCAAAGAAAAATGGCCCTCTCTTCCACCCCAGCCTCAAAATATCTAGTTATAGATTCTGCTTTTCCCTCATTTATGTCAAAGGAATAGAATCTTTTTGAGGTAAGGTAGTTGTCGAGAAGTTATCTCTTCGGTAATTTTTCACCGGATTTTTGGAAAGAAACCCTGGACAGCTAAGAGTCATATGGAAAATGAAAGGGAATAAGGAGCACTCCCCTGAATCCCACCTTGAGGGTAACCTAGGGCTATTGCTTTTCAGCTGGGGAAGCTTCAACTTCCAGCATGCTTATACGGAAGCCATCAAGAAAGACAGATGACCTGAAGAGTCTAGATACTATGGATGATCCAGACATCGTGGGAGACATACCTATTATGAAAACTGGTGAGGCATGTGGGTAAACAAGGGAGAGGAATGTGGAAAGGAGTGTAGCAAAGTGAAAAGTGTGTACATGGTATTATAAATCAGGGTAGACCTACCAAAGCTGAAATATGAGTTTAAGACACAAGGGAAAAAGTGGGTGTGTGTGTATGTATGTGCGCGCAAGAGAGAGAGAACATCTGGGAAACTAGAGAGAGGGACACTTTTCTCTATGAACAATAACATAATTTAGTCAATATTAAATCATTTGGCACCCTCATAACTGTAAGCTACTAATCTGGCTTATCCTGTTGTTGGCATCCTTGGTATATAAAAATGTGAAACTTAAAAAAATGAACTAAATTAAGGAGTTGCTGTATTACAAAACGATTCTAAATGTTGTCAAAAATTCACCTTAGGAATCCATTTAATAACAAATTGCTCTTGTATATTTTAAATAATGTTCGATTCACAAACAATTTATATGAAGCTTCAGAAACACATCTATGCATTTCTTCTCAACTCAATACATCTATATTGGAGTCAGTTCACTGCAAACATTTATTAAGTTCCCACTATGTGCCCAGTAATATACTACAAATGATATAGATGTTGTAAAACATATATATAAGACATAGTTTTGTCATTGTCCCTATAGTTTACAGTTTGGAAATGCCTTAGTAATTCCTTATGTTTTCAGAAGGAATTCAAGACTAAAAACATTTTCCTCAAGAAGTTAACAATTTCATTTAAGTAATCACTCCTAACACCTGTGAAATATATAGCAGTATTTATTCATAATTTTTTGAGCACTTACTATTTGAAGTCAATGTGCTGGACTCGGTAGAAAATGAGAAAATGAACTAGACACCAACCTTTCCTGTTCCCCAGGAGCTGATGATCAAGGAGGGGAAATAAGAGATAATGTGTAAGTTAAGAGCTTGATAACTTTAGTTCAAAATGTTGAATTTTAAAAAATGATGCCATCAAGATGTAGGGAAGGGAGGAGCCAAACAAATATTTAGGCAGAGCTTCACTGAGCTCCAGCATGGAGGCAGGTACCATGGTTCTGCATAAATTCTAACTTAATGCACTCTTGTTAGTATTCCCAGAGTTAATCACACTCACAAGAAAATGGCTTATATACAAGAATACCTATTTATTTATATACTGGAGCAATATCTATCTAACTATCTATCTATCTATCTGTCTATGGCAACTATATGTGATCTGTGTCCCTTTAATCAGACTTGTTTTGTTTATGCATAGAAAGCATCTAAGAACAAGAAATAAACCCAGTTGGTGGCTTTGCCATACTATGTCTTGAATTCGTACAGATTATTTTTTATTTTCCCTCATCTTTCCTCCTTTTCCCATTCTCATTTTGCTCTGTACCTAAACTCACCTCAGACCCCCTTTGCTTTGATGACCCATTTGGACCTGCTTCTGTGGTTTGAACTCAGCATTATCCCTGGACAAAATTCTGATGTTCAACTTCTCCCTTTAAACACTGGGACCTCAGGTAAGAGCCACGCTTAACTCTTCCAGCTTTCTAACTCTTCCAGCTTCCCAGCTCCAGTGGGACCTCCATTCCTCCTTTCCTGGCTGCTTCCCTCCTTCCTTCCCCCTTTTGTTCCTTTGTCCCTCCTCTGTCCCTCCTTCCCTTTCCACCTTCTTCTCCTTCCAAGAAAAATTGTTGAGCACATACTATGTCAGGTACTGTACTTGGCACTAGGAATAAAGTAGTAAACAAAACAGCTACATTACATGAGGATGAAGTTTATAGTCTTGTGGGAGTAAGATAGTAATCACAGAATCACACACATGGTTATATAATTAGAAAATAACACCATGTAATAAAACAAGGGGCCTAATCTGGCCTGAGAAGTGAGAAAAATCTTTCTCAGGAAGGACTGAGGGATAGGTATACATTAGCCAGGCCAAGGGAGAAGACCTTCCAGGAAAAGGGGATAGTAGGCTCTGAAACAGGAAGGAGTTTGGCTCATTGGAGGAGTAGAGTGGGCCATATGACTTGAGTGATTGGAAGCATAGCTGGCGCGTGAACTATAAAAGCAGTATGAGAACTGGGTCATGCAGTGCCTTCAAGGTTCTTATTAATACTTTTGAGCTGTGGGAAATCACTGAAAAGTGACAGGATCATATTTGTATTTTAAAAATATCTTTCTGGCTCCTGGGTGAAGGATAGATTGGAGGGGGACAACAATGGTTACCTGGTCTGGTAAGGTGGATGCCACTGTCTTGTTCCATTCCTTGCATCTAGGTAACATATCACTATAGGGCACCAGTGAAGAATTCACATCATCAAATAGCAGAGGTGGACACGGCACTACTGATGCCAAAACATGCAAACCCCCTAGCCTGACCTGATGTTCCTCTACTGCTTCTGCCAGCCTGGAAAATTCCTGCCTGCTTCCCTCCTTCCCTCCAGGGTGTTCTGCTCCTTCCTCTAAGTGCAGTTCTATAGAGAGATGCTGGGCTGTAGTCCTCAAGAAAAATGGAATACATTTGTTTCTTGTTTCACACCTGGTAGGGAAGCAGCTGAAGCTATTGTTTTCTCCAATTCCTTTCCCATCAGTATAAACAGCTCTGCCTTTACAATGATGAGGCAGGCTGTCTATGTGTGTGTGTGTTTGTGGCCCACAGAAGATCAACTCCCAACACAAGGAATCCATTTGGTCCTGCACTAGGGCACAGCAAGAGAGTGAATCACCTAGGTCTCACCCTTTACCCCTATGTCCTGGCCCCTAGGCTTTATAAAGAAAGGTAGCTAGCGTGCCAAGATAGGTGAGAGTGTGGGACAACTACCCATCAGTCTTCGTTTCACCTAGGCCATCTGATTCCAGCATTGCCCATGCCCCCTGCTGCCCTCCTGTTTCTCTGCACCTGAGTGTTCTGTACACTCAAACCCAGGTGGGTTATGCAGACCAGGATGCAAAGTTGCTCCAACTAGCATTGTGAGTGCTACTGATAGGTAAAAATTATGACTGCTGTCTATGGCCTAAGTTCCTCCCAAGCAGTTATACTTGCTTTCTGCCTCAGAGACAAGATTTTCCATATATATGCTATGTTGTAGCAATCTAAGAACCTGTACTGTTGCT